TTGTGATCAGAGCAACTTGAACGTTGACATTTTCTGGACTGAACGGTTCCTGTCCGTCGATGCCAACGGCCTGTCCCATGAGATCTATGACTGTGCCAGCCTCCTTTGCCACTGCCGCACGGCCCTCGGGTTGACTGAAAAGATTGGCGACGGTCCTCAATGCCATCATCAAGTTGTGGGGGTTGATCTCTTTCCAGTTCACGTCGTCCGGGGCGAGTTGTGGCAGAGTGTCTCCAGGGTCTGTAAACTGCTTCGGGTTCAATGCGGATCGCAAGGCGACAATGGCTGTGTTCGGGAATGAAGCCAGACCAGGGCGCGCGGCCATACATCGCAGAACGTCAAGAAGAGGGAGCCTAGTGCGGTATGGCCATTGGGTCAAAAGCCTGAGGACAATCTGCGTTGACTCAGGCGGGATAGGGCTCTTCGGTGGCTCCAACAATCCGGAGATCATGGACTCTAAGCGGGCCAAGTCGTCGGGGTTCATGGCAATGTGCTTATTCCCGGCCTTGATGTGGTCTTGGTTGAACTCTTTCAGCCGTCGGAATGCCGGACCTAGGTTCGTTGAGGTGATGGCCAGGTACTCTGTATGTGGAAGGAAGCGGGTGGCTGGGGTTGGAGCCTTCGAGTTTGGAGAAGCTGGACGCGCCGGTGTGCTAGGTACGCTCTGTTGGGCACCTGCCGTATTCTCCCTGATGAATTGTGCCACAGCTTCGAGGTACGAGATCGGTAGGTTGTTTTCGTTGAGGAACTTTGTTGCCGCTTGATACGTGTCTTCTCCGAGGTTATATGGCAGCTTGTGCGGCGGTTTACCATCTTCCGTGTCCACGTCGAAAACGAAGTCGTACTCTTTCCCTTGGTATTCCACCTTCTTGTGGTCGCCCGCAGCTTCTGCAGAGTCCACAACGGTGCCGAGCAGATCCCATTTGTTGGTTACTATGACAAACATTAGTCTCCAGCCCACAATTGATGAGTTGGAAGCTGTGGTCAAACGAACCTTCTGACCATTGATAGGCCGCTATACTCCCATCAGACTCAGAGACCAGTACGACTTGCTGGTGCTTCTCTCCCTTCGCCGTGGTCAACCACTCTTTCGTCTTCAAGTTCTTACGATCAATCGTGTTGCCCTTCACTTGGGACTGTTGAACTGCCGCATCGAAATCCGAGATAGCATCAGGCTCGGCCACGCGCTCAGGGCTACGGGTAAAGATCCGGACAACATGATCACTTGTTGCAGCTGCGATGTCTCCGTTTGCCTGACATACTGCGACTTGCCATACAGAGATAGCCGGAAGCGTGATGGTCTGGACACACTCCCTGTCTTTCCAGATGCGCACGGTCCGATCCTCACCGGAACTAACAAGCTCGCCCGTTGGTAAACAGGCGAGTGAGTAGATGAAGCTTTCATGGCCGTACAGACTAGCAACTTGCGTCCCGTCGATCTTCCAAAGTCGGATAATGCTGTCGTTACCGGCGCTGGCAAAGTCGGCTCTTGTGGGGTGCGTCGGTCCTCCGACTGGGAATCGGCATAGTGCTCGTACCACATCGTCGGTCTTCAGGGAGCGCTGAGCAGCAACCTGCTGAAACGATCCCTCGGATGGCGATATACGGAAGATCCGAATGTATGTATCGGCGCAAGCTGTGATGACCACATCCTTGCTGTAGGACAAAACCGCCCAGACGGCCTTGGTCTCCTCGCTGTGTTCCAGACTCAACACTGGCTCCCATGCCTTGGTGCTCCAAACGATAGCCTTGCCGTCCCAGCTACCCGATACCAAATATGACCCATCGCCAGCGACGTCAAGAGCGCAAACATTGCCCGAATGTCCAACAAGCAAACGCTTGTGGTTGTCCTCCGGAGCAGCAGGGTTATTGATCTCAATGAGATGATCACCGCCGCCACGCACGAGGAGGCCTTCGGGGCAAGAGCTGTTCGAGGGTGGCTGGTATGCGAGCGAGTTGACATAGTGGTTGGCAGGTATAGTGTTGGACTTGGTGAACTTCGGTGGGTGACCGGCCGGCACGGTTGGTTTGCGCCATAGCACGGTAGTTGAGTCGCGGCTACCAGAAATTACGAAGTCTGGAGAAGGGAAGATCACGCAGCGAACCTACGAGGTGCCAATGTCAGCTTCTAGTCGGAAAGGATTCGCTCTGGAGGACCCTACATCTTTCTCGTGGCCCCTCAGCTCGGCTGAGAGCTGGAACTCTGGCATCTTGTGCGCCTTAGTGTTTGCAGCGGGTATGTGTGATGGAGCGAGCTCGCAATGGCTTGTCACAAGCACCAGCTATGCGGGAGTAGGATCGGGTATTCGGGTAACAGGTGGTCTTGGAATCAGACCGTGCAACCGAGCGCAATTGCCTGGTTCGGGGTTCGTAGAAGGAACGGAGCTGGAGCTTCGGGAGTAGTCGCAAGGGCAAACAGAAGCCACTGATAATTTGTCAGGCTTTGGGGTGGAAGTGGCACGAAATGGTTCGAAAGCTGGGTGAGGTGAGGGGCAGTATTGTGCAACCCGAGCTGAGGTCGGGGCGGCCACGGCGGCAGCACCCAATCTCAGTGCCCCAAGGAGGGGCTTCCTTCTGCTTCTGATGACCACGTCGCGGCATGCTTGCCTGCCACAACAACCCCACCGTTGAGAACCATGTGGGGCATGGAGCTTGGAGCTGGGGGGCGCATGGGCCAAACGAGGGGTCCTGCGCAAACTGGCCCCGCAGAATGGGACTTCGTTGCTTTCGCCTCAAAATCACCCTCCTCCCGCCTGCACATTTACACTCGACGACCAAGATATGATGACCATTGTGGCCTGAGCCCATCTCTGCCTGTTTCTCACGAACTCTTCTAACGACCCGTTACGACCCTTTCGCTCTTTTCTTTTGTCCTGGTCCACCCGCTATCTCTCCCCTGCATGCGTTAGATCTCTGTGCCCTCGCCGGAACTTCGCGCCGCCGTCCACGAAGATTTCTTTCCTTTCCTGCCGGCCAGACACCAGACGAAGTCGGTCTTTTCGATACATCTTTCAGTCTCTGCTGGGGACGGCCCCTCCATAACTTGCACGGATCGACCTCGTTCGCTCGGCGGTGCAATCGACCATGGCCGAGTCCGCCCCACGGCAATATGTGCCTCTAACATGCCACGGCCACTCACGGCCTGTTCCACACCTGAGTTTCTCCCCGCTTGAAAAGGAGGAGGTATACTACATGATCTCCGCCTGCAAAGGTTTGCGCTACACTACCCTCTTGCGTGGTCGCGCTGGCTGACCTCCAGCGTTCCAGATGGCAACCCGATGCTTCGCGACGGCCAAACAGGCGATTGGATTGGCACCTTTTTCGGTCATAAAGGCGCTGTATGGCAAGCGCGACTAAGCCCCGATGCATCCACGGCAGCGACTGCCTCGGCCGATTTTACCGCCAAGGTGTGGGACACCCACACCGGCGAGCTGCTCTACGTCCTTCAACACGATCACATCGTACGCGCCATCGCCTACCCGTTTGAGAATTCCGGGATGCTGGCAACCGGAGGATTCGAGAAGAAATTGCGCATTTTCGATTTGCAGGAACAGAAGCCAGCTTCTAACCAGGGCGTTGTCGCACCCGTCACCATCGAGACCTCCCGAGCCTTTGAGATTGGCGAAGGAGCCCACAAGGATGCTATCAAGTTCATCGTCTGGGCTATGGATCCGAACGTCATTATTACTGCATCTGGTGACACCCTTCGCTGGTTCGACCTACCCACGCGCCGGTGTGTTCGGGAGGCCAAGCTCGAAGGGGAGATAAAGTCATGCGAGCTTGTTTACCTCGCGCCGGCCTTCAGCTCTCCCACGGATATCGGGGGGGGCCTACCGGTTTTATCTGTGGCCGCTGGGAAGACGGCATACTTTTGGGGCGGGAGGAGGGCCGAGGATGAGCTGAAGAGGATGACCCTTCCCCATGGGATTGCCAGTGTTGGCCTAGACCTGAAGGGGCGGAAGATCGTGGTTGGTGAAGATCCAGGAACGTGGGCCCGGGTCTACAGCTGGGAGGACGGCAGGGAGATTGACGTCCACAAGGGTCATCACGGTCCTATCTGGTCCATCGCGTTCTCTCCAGACGGCAACCTCTATGCGACAGGCTCTGAGGATGGGACCATCAAGATGTGGAAAAACTGCGACGGCTTCTATGGGCTGTGGCGCGGGGGTGCGTCTGGTAGTACCGGCTCAGACTAGGAGATGGTTGATTGGCCTGTTGATACCCTCTCTAAAGGAAGTTGCATCTCGGAGCAGTCTGAACGCCGCATCACGGACACGTTGGGTACGGCTAGTATTCTTGATCGTGAGCCCGTGGACACTGATCTACTCCTCAGCTACAACTCGCCGGAGTTGAAGGCGTCTTGTTTTGCTCGGGCATCCAGCCGGACATCGTCTTGCTCCGACCTTCTCCTTAGTTATCGTGAGCCATAGACGCTCTCTTGGCTGATCTTCTTGAGGACAAGCGCACGGGGTGGCCCGGAAGAGTATAAACAAGATTAGTGGATTGGTTTGTGGTTGGCTTCACACTTGTTTACCCTTCTTGGCAAAGGTGGTTAGCCAAGTCATGGTTATTTAGCTCTAATGTCATCAGCTGAGTAGTAAATGATGATTTGAGGCCGCTACCGACATTTGGGACAGAGTTCGAGCAGGGCCGAGAGCCTTCGTTTTGGAGAGCTGTTGTCATGTCGGACTAACAGGTGCCTTGTCCTTCACAAGTGCTGGAATACAGTTGTGGGAGCTTGGTTTTACATCTAGTGGCTTTATGAGGTTCCTACTCACCACGTGGAAGAACTTTCAACCCAACCGAGGCCAAACCCTTTCCCTCATGACTGATAGTCGGTCCATTTCGGTCAACCTCTGTGAGTCAACACCTCGTCCAACATCCCGACCCCCTCGACACCTCGACACCTCGACCCCTGAGTGACTCACGAGGCGCAGCATCGCCATTTACAATCACCCACATAGCTTACAACGCACATGTCTCTTCCAAGATAGAAAACAAGCCATGTGGCAGAGTGGGAATGCGTCGGGCTCATAGGACAGTTGTCCGCATGGTTCCCGAGGATCGCTGGATCGAAACCAGCCATGGCTATCTTTTTTCTTTGATTTTCTCCCTGTCTCTCCTTGGGACAGTGTAGTTTTCGCTCCAGTTACGTGTATGCCCCCTTTCCCTTTCTATTTTTGTATTAGCAGCCTTGTTGTGTTCATGTCCTACCCAAAGATGCCGCTAGAGGCATTCATTCTTTCGGCTTTTGAATGTGGTGGTCGAATTTGCGCTGGACGTTTCAAGTTCAAGATCATAACGACCTTCGAGCCAGCTATTATCAACAGCAACATTACATTCCTAAACCACACGTTTACTAAGGTACACAAGCAAATATACAAGACGAATCCTAGTCATTTTTTCCACATTCAAAACACTACCGAAGATGTTTGAAAACCGAGTGGTTCTTCAAGCTCGGATCCGCAGCCATCCATTTGCAAACATCCGAGCCTTCGATTTCCAAGTCATTGAACTTTTCGAGGAGATCATCGCTAGCTGTCTTTGGGGTTCCAATTCCACTACATGCAGTCTTGTCTTTCTGCGGAACGTCAACGATGCTGTGTTGTTTCCCTAGAGCAACCGAGCTCTTCCGCTGACCTGCGGACTTCTGCGGACTTTGAGGCAGCGTTGGGCTGGCGTTGAAGCCGGATAAACAGGAAAAAGATCTGGTTGAGCCCTGTGACTTTGGAGCGAAGACGAACTCCATACCCTGGTCTAGCTGGGCTTGATTCCACTCGGCCGACGCCTTCCGTTCTTCTGCTGATATATGTTCGGGATACACGTCAGTTTGCGGAGTGAAACTTGGGACGAAAGGGCTTTGGCCTCGTCTTCCCGTTGCTCGGAGATCACTTCCGAAGGCTTCTGGTCGGGGGCCGGAGCTGGCAGAGACGGAGCCTTCGCCCATGACCACGGACACCTCTCCGCGGGCGCCTGCTTGATGGTGGGCTCTTGTTTGACCGAGACCGTAGTCTGTTCCTTCCCCACTTGGCTCCCCAGAAACCTCCTTGGCGTTGGCTCTTGCACCGACTTTGATACAAAGAGCCCCTCTCCTTTTTGGTGCGCCGTGTCCTTGATATCTCCTCTCCTAGCGGTCTGCTCAAACATCTGCCGGGTTTTCCGGAGAGCCAAGTTCCATCTCTTGACAAGGTCGTCCATCCTCATCATCGTTGTTGTGGCCATAGCAGAGAGATTCACGAGCTAAAGCCCGTAGGCATTTGGGCTCGCGCTCCCATGCCACGGGGACGATTCCGGTCAGTAGATGCTCGATGCTGGTATGCTTGGCTTGGCTCATCGGGCGGTGACAGCGACGACCCGACTGGGTCAGCCCCATGCATGACCATCCATGCGCCTCGCGATTGTAGATGCACAAGATCCGCTCTGGATTCCACGTGGGGTGGCTAGCGTTGGACGAATCTGACATGGGTGACGCCATAGGAGTTCGACATCGATAGCTTTGCGATGTTGCTATCAAAAGCATGCTTGAGTTGTGATGCAGGCAAGGGTTCACTGGAACTCATGAAAGCTGACCGCCGTAGGTATTCGTCGGGAATTCTCCAGGAGTGCCATCAGCGCAACACAATCGTTACGTTTGCCGGTGCCCGGACGGCCTGTTGCAGCTCGTTCGGCAGCAAGCCTGGGGTATCCCGACTTGAGCTCAGGTCCGGAACCTCGGGGCTTCCCACTGGCGGCCATGAGCCTCGAATGGTCGTCAAGGCAGCCACGCCGTCATATGCCAGAAGATGTCATCTCCAACAGCGAGACTTTGAGGATGTTGCGCTTATGCGGGGAAATAAGCGGGGAACAGCTCGTGTCTTTCGGTGTTCAGGCTCAAAATGGCTGGCAAAGGCTGCAAACCCCATGTCGTGGTCGAGATTGCACGATCAGTGGCTAACGACATTCGTCTTGGGGGCAACGGATAAGGGAGCCACAGGCGCTCATTTGCCAATGGCAAACCCTGCGAGTCTTGAGCGTGCGGGGACGTTGCAGGCCTTGTGGTGGGGTGAAATTTGGCACACCGGGCTCCGGTTGGCTGGCATCACGCTTGGCTGGAGAGACGAGGGGGGCTTGGAGTGATCGACTCCGATGATGATAACCCAGCCCAGGAACTTCTGCTCGCGGTTGGTGCTCTCCTCTTTCTAAACTGACTTTTTAGCTCAGCCAATGCGTCGCGAAGCCGCAGCCCTGGACGCGCGTTGATCGAGCGAGGCGAGGACGCGTCTCTTCTTCACTTCCGAGAGGTGTTGCTCCAGCTGGAAACCCGGAGCTGATGTGACTTGGCAGTCCCGTCGACGGGAAACGGGCGACCTTGAGGGTCGAAGCGCGAGAAGCCCCACCGAGTTGAAGGTTGAAGACGGGACGACGCGACGAGAAGACGGTCGGGAAAAGGAAAACGCAAGCGCCCCTCATCCGGTGCGGAATCCGACGAAAACCCCTCACGCGCCTAGTCCAACTCCGACGCTCTCGGAGGCAGCAGCGCGGAGCGAAAAAGACTGACGCAGCGACCGTTGGAGGAGGTTCGCGTTTGACGTCTTGGGACCCACCAGTTCGTTTCCTGGGGTTTGCTTGAACAGCTCACCCCTGCGGAGCTTGCCGACATCCAACCAGCAGGAGCGACGACCGCGTCGAACTGTCCGTCGTTGACCTCTACCTTATCATGGCACCCTCTGTGGCTGCTCTGGCAAAGTTTGCCACATTTACAGTGAGTCCCAGCCGATTCGCAAATACTGTTTTCCCCTGCTAATATGGGCGCCATATAGGATGCATTTCTGTCTGGCCTGGTGAGCTTGTCTGCCCATCGAGCTCCTCGCCCGCCTTTGCTGAACGGCTTTAGGTGATTCCCTTGCTCCCGTCCATCATCAAAAGCCGGGTCCAAGTTCCCCCCGAGCAAGGTGAGTCGAACGCCAGACTTTGATAGACTTGGCGGACAGTCGGGTGTTGACCATTCTCCAGTCCAAATCCTGACCTCGATTCTCGTGGCGGCGTATGGCGGTGCCTTGGTGGCAGTATCTCGTGAGTTTCTTCAACCAACATCATCTTCTGTCCCGATGAAGCTCCGACTGACCTGTATGGAAGCATTACTGCCTCTGCTGGCAGTCAACGGCCGTTACCTCTGGGTCACTGTTCTCGGCGGACTCTTCTGTGCGGCGGGGTCGTTCGTCTTGTTTCAGTTCTACTCCTATCTTCCCCTTTTGCTGCTTGCGAGAGCTCTCCAGGGGCTTTCGGCAGCTGCGATTGCTGGCGCATACTGCAAAATTACCAGCGCTGGACCGCGTGGCATTTCATGGGCCACCCCGACTGTTGTGCAGAGCACAGCGATGGCGGTTGCACCTGCGGTCGCGGGATATCTACACGACAACGCCGGTGGTGAGAGATCAGTATTCTTTTGCGCGTATGCAGTTATCATCCTGAACGCGCTGCTATGGCTTGTTGCCTTCTTCTCCGCCCCTGCAACCCAGCCCAGCACCGACGAGCAAGCCGAGAATGTCCAGCCGGCCGAACAACCGACCGACACGTACGGGGCGCTGTCGTTGAGAGGAGGCGGAGGAGCAAGCGGATATTCTTCGATTTCAAGCGCGATGACCCGCTCGTCCAGGAGATCACGTCGAAGCAGTATCAGCTCAGCGTTTTCAATCCCCGATGCAACCACCCCTGTTTTCGGAATTCGTCTTTTTACCGCGCTATTTGGATACCTCGTCGTCGCTTTTCTCCTGGCGGCACTCCAGAGTTTGATTCCTCTCTTCGCTACCCGTCAGTTCGGCTGGGCGATATGGAATATCGGACTCGCGTTGGTCCCAATGTCGGGCCCCGCAATAATCATCAGTCTTCTGGCAGGATTTTTCACGAGTCGGGTACCAAGATCCGCCCGCTTCGTTGTCACCCTGGGCTTCCTGATCTGCATTCCGGCCTTCGCACATCTCGGTCAGCTTGACACCACCCCAGTTGCCTCAGCATCAGCAGCCTTGCCGCCGATACTTGCGCTCATTTCATTCGGTGTTGGGCACAGCGGTGACCCCCTGTTCAGAGAAATAACACGACTGACAGCCGAAGCGGATGAGTCACTGGTCAGTGCTGGGTATCTTGGCGCAAACACTGCCTTCTCTTGGGGAAGTCTGATGGGGCCGTTGGTTACTGGCTTCATCCAGTGGAAATGGGGTTGGTACAGCATGGCCAAATTCTTGGGCGCTCTCTGTGGGTTCAACGCTCTGTTGACCCTTTTGTTTTTGCAGGGTTGGATCGGAAATCCCCAACCAGTCAGTCTCAGAGCCACAGAATCAGGCTCCGACGAGGAATCAGCGCCACTGCTCGCAAATTCATCACAGAGGGCTATTCTGCCCACGAATGTGATTGAGGGACATTCGATGCCAAGGAACCTTCACAAGGGAGACTTTTTCGACGGCAACACCGCTGCCGTGACGGATAGCTCAGACTTTGGCTCCAGCGTTCGAACTGATGGCGAGCGCCGACTTGGTCGGCACCGTCGCCATTTTAGCATCGACAACTTTTCCATCGCTACAACGGCGGTTGCGGGACAGCAGTCCGACCAGGACACGCCACAAGTCCGCTTCCAGGCCGCACTGGAGACCCCAGTGTTGATGGGAAGCTCATTCAAACAGCAACTCGGAAACCCCGAGCGGCGGTTTGTCATGAGAGAAGCACCACATGCGCCTGCCACGGATGCGTTGCTGGCCTCAGGAAGCCGATACATTATCGATGAAGCCGCCGCAGATGGCGAGACTACCAAGCGACATGTAGTGGTATTTGAAGAAAACGCCGTGCCGGCCGAGTTACTCGAGCGCCGACAGCACCATGTCGTTGCGATCAACAGCGTAGATGGGTCAGTCAAGCTGGCCCCAAGCACCGACAATCATGCCGTTCATGTGACAGAAGAGGCGACCGATCAGCCTGAGTTGCCTGAGACTTCGCGGCGCTACGTTGTCGTCCTCCTTGAGAAGGGGGATATTGAAGACGAAACGGAGGTAGATTGATCTACTTAATGTCTTTGGAATGTAACGGTGGGGGGCGATGTTGTTTGAAAAGCGGGCGGGCAA